AAAAAAAAAAAAGAAAAGAAAAGAAAAGAAAGAAAACCATACCGTTCAATTCTGAAATCTTTCAAAAATGCCTCCTCCCACAACCCTCGCAATCTTCGACTTCGACGGCACCCTCTTCGACACTCACGAATCCATCTCCCAAACCATCAAACTCACCTTCGACGCCCTCCTCCCCACCCACGCTCCTCCGCAACCCGAAATCCACCGTCTCATCGCCAGTGGCGCCGGCCTTTCCGACACCTTCCGCGCCCTCCATCCAAACCCGGACACATTCACCCTCCAAGAAGAAACCCAATGGATCGAGAAATACCGCGCCCTTTACGCAACCCACGGCCAACTCCTCATCAAAGCCTTCCCCGGTGCCCAGGAACTCCTAACAGAGCTTAAGGCCCATAATGTGCCCATCGCTATTGTCAGTAATAAGGGCGTGGCGGCGGTGAAGACGGCGCTGGAGCGGAACGGGCTGGGCGGATATGTGCCTGAGGAGCTGATTATCGGGGATAAGACGCCTGGGGCGCAGCGGAAGCCGGATCCGGCGAGTTTTGTGGATGTGCTGGTCCCGGTTTTGGAGGGGAAGTTTGGAATAAGGGTAGAGGCTGGTGAGGGCGTGTTGGTTGTGGGAGATACGGTGGCGGATATTCAGTTTGCGAGGAATATTGGGGGGAGGTCTTGTTGGTGTCGATATGGGTATGGAGATAGAGGGGCTTGTGAGGGGTTGAAGCCGGATTATGTGGTGGATTCTTTGGGGGATGTTGTTGGCATTGTTAAGGGGTGATTTCTTCTTGGTTTTTGTTTTCTGATTGTTGATGTTGATGTTTTTATTTATTGTGGACTCGGCATGCATTGGTCTGGCTGGAAGGATATTGGGGAAAAAAAAAAAAAAATCCATTACCCCGCTGGAATATATGTGGCATTTTGTATAGAACATCATGAGAATGGAGGAAAGAGAAGAAGCCAATATGCAGATAAAGAGTGTATCATCCAAATCCCATACAAAACGCCCTTGCCATGCATCGTCACGTTGAGTATCATAAGAAGAGTAAGTAGCGCTGCTACCGAAAGACGGACCCGGATCACTAACTTCACCGTTTACCCACCACTTGCCTCTTGGCTTTATCGTAGTTTAGCACCTTTCGTCGTCGGTGGGTTTGCGCCAGTTTCCATCTGCAGTACAGAACCAATACATCTTTGAGTAGAACGAAGGCACAGCCGCCGACTACACTTCGGCCCCATCGGGTCTGTAGAAGTCCCGGTCTGCTACGCTCCAACGCGGACGGAGCCGCGGTCCATGCTTTCGGGAGGACGTACTTGAGTAGCCCGCCCATCGAAGCGGAGATGGCCGGAAATGCAAGAGCCCCGAGGATGATATCAGCAAGGTTGCTCGTTTCATGGATCAGGTCGTCTCGTCGACCCAGTCCCATCTGGCCATTCTGAGCAGCGTCCTGGTTTTGGCCTTGACCACCGGCCCCATTGTTGTCGCCCATTCCCACTTGTAATTCCAAATCAATTTCCATGAGGATATGGCCATTTCCATCATCCCTAGGAGGGTCGGCCTCCGGGTGTTCAGGAGGCGCATTGTCGTCGAACTCGTTGACATCCGATTGCCGGGGCTGCACCTCCGCGATCCACCTCCTTTCCAACTTGCCAAATAGCCTTTCGTAGATGGTGCTATAGAAACTTTTCACATACGGGAGAGCCGCAAACGTCATCGCGGCGCTAGGTGGCCAAAGATCGAAGTCAGGATCATGACCGGGGTTATGTGTGGCGAAGAACAGTACTGGGATAGCTGGGAGCAGTCCTTCCGCATAACGAGTCCGCGAGAAGATCAACACCAGTGGGATGAGCGGTAGGCCAAGATTGAGACCTGAGTTCCATGATCCATCTGCGCTTTCTTCCAGGATTTGTCGGGCATCCTCCGGACCAAAAACAAAATACATAGAATACACGCCGTGCGCACAGCATCCAGCCCAAACAGTGCCCGCAAGGGTGAACACCATACCGGGAAGAACCAGCCGGCCAGCAACCCGCTCCAACATCCGAACCGTGTCAACAATATAGCTGCGTGGGCGCGAGACGACAATCTCGGATTTACACTGGGGGCACATCATCTTCGCGTTGCGGCCGTTTCGTTTCCGGGATCGGGGGTTTTCTAAGTCGGCGAGCCAATCCAATAGGCAGGCTTCATGAGCCGTCAAGGCACATGGACAAGGGGAGCGCCATTCTGTATTAAGGGGAGAGTCCTCGGTCTCGTCCGTGTAACAAATCCAACATTTACGTGGTTCATCGTCATTTGATGTATTGACGGGGTTGGAACTCTGAATCGGAGATGCACCGGAGATGTTGCCTTCACTGGACGAAGGCTTATTGAGAAAGACAGTCTCATTGTCCTCCATTGATTCCGTCGTAGGTGAGGTAGATGTTTCGGGTCTCGATGCTGCTTCGTTCCTGGTGGAAGCGTTATCGGAAGATCGCGGTCTACCTGCGGAGGCTGAGTAACCCGGGATTGACTCCATAGTTTAGTTTGCTCAAGCAAGGCTGTACCCAGTAAGATGAGTCAAAAAGACAAGAAACGTTGATTGGACTACTGGGATAATAAAGCACAACTGTACATCCTGCGAGGGAGTGTCGACTAAGTATCATCGATTCATGGAGGTAAGGCAGGGGAAAGAGTTTGCGGCGAGACTGATGGGGTAGGTTTCAGTCACAAGGCAGCTCTTAGTTATCGGAACTGCCACTAAGCAAAGCTGCTAGTGCTTCGGGTGTCAACCGCGGCTTTGGAGAGGCGAAAAACATTGACGAGTTTCAACTGGCTTTTCCCTCGTCACGTGGGGCCTTGCGGGGCGTCGTAGGCTCGGAATAACTGTTAACCCGGGGGTATTCTTCCTTTCTCGGTCTAGTCTCTTATCACATCACTTTCAACTATCATTGCGGTCTCCTCGGACTCCGGAGTATGGAAAGACAATTGGCTTGAGCAGCAGCATGTCAACTTATTGAAATGCAGTAGTTCAGGCACAAGTCTATCTAGCTCATGAAGTACTCCTGGATCCGGTTCTTCCTATATCCACCAAATGAGAAGTATCTGACTCAAATTGAGATACGTCAGAATTGATTATTCAGGTTACTGGATATTAAGGTATAGTTAGGTTAACTCACTCTCAGTTTTATATAGAGGAACCAAAGTTATATATCTGTCCACTTTATAGGACTCAAACAGCTAAGAAAACATGGGGTTCACATTCTAGTAAAGGCTACTTCGCCTCTCTAAACAAGCTTCGCCTACGTCAATACCTTCAAGTTTGCTGGGATTTGCTCGAGTATTCTCTGACTAGCGATTCAGTAACCATAGTTTCTTCGACATAGCATACAGACCAACGAAAAGAGAGCATCTGATTCGAGGAAGAACAGCCCGTTCTATACTCCATACCCGGTCCCTGGGAGTTACTGTGGCCATGCTGAAGGAATGCGGTGCTTCTGTGCTGTCGTCCTGTTTCTATAGCAAGAAGCACAGGGAGGACCACTTGTACAGTGATATCCGAAATCAGATCTATCTCCACGCCCCTAGATATTAACTCCGAGCCCCAACTTGATATACCCCAGTTTAATTTTAGCCCTTCCCCTCATATCCCCACAATGCTGTATAGTCATTATTGGCAATGATAAACGCGTCATCATTCCAGTATCGTATTAACTAGTAGAAACTGATAAAAGTATCTTGCTGCAGTAAATCTGTTGCGGTAGTGGCAATGCAGCGATTATCAGAATACCCCTTCTCAGTAAAATCCCTCACACCATCTCCACCGAGACCTCAGAAGCTGTGTTGTATGTATCATGGTATTATATTTATCTAGTGACGCGAACACTGGGCTCCATGTTGGGACTAGTAATGCCCCAACTAATACAATGTTCTACTATATCTCTATCAAGATAACTGAAATACTACTATTATGGAGAGAACCCAGGTCCACCAGACTAATAGCCAGAATCCATTAGCCAGACTCGCCCACTAAAAACGACGAGGGCTATGCAGCCAACAGTTTCGCGGGATCAACGAATAAAATAGGGCCTCTTTGGCACACTCCACCCGTGAGCACAGCGGGGATGTAGATCTCCATAGTCCCCGGGGGGCTGTATATCTCCTCAAAAGAATTCGCAGCAAGCGTTAATGGAGCCCGAGCGGATATCTCCACTTCAGGCGAACCGTCACTAATGTCGCTTGATGTATAGTATAATATAAGGAATGCGCTGCTACTTTGTACCCTACCAACTGCTAAAAGGCCAAGTGCAGCTAAGGTATGCAACCCCTCTTAACGGACGGTGAGCTTATCCAATAAACAGACTCTCCAGGTAGACTCTTTCTGTCTTCTTACTGCTTTTTTTTTTTTTTTTTTTTTTT